CCAGTCTCTTCTTAAAAACTTCCAGTGTTGGAGCATTTACTGCTTCTGGAGGCAAGCTGTTCCACTGATTAATTGTTCTAACTGTCAGGAAGTTTCTCCTTAGTTCTAGGTTGCTTCTCTCCTTGATTAGTTTCCACCCGTTGCTTCTTGTCCTACCTTCAGGTGCTTTGGAAAATGATCAAAATTGGTTGCAGTATTCCAGATGTGGTCTCACTAGGGTTTTATAAAGCGATACTAATACTTCTTGTGATCTTGATTCTATGCCTGTTTATACAACCCGGTATTGTATTAGCTTTTTTGGCTGCTGCTGCACACTGCTGGCTCATATTCAAGTGATCATCCACTAGGACTCAAAGATCCCTCTCACAATTGCTGTTTTTGAGCCAGGTTTCGCCTAATCTGTACTTATACCTTTGATTTTTCCTGTCTAAATGTAAAACTTTGCTTTTCTCCACATTAAAACTCATTTTGTTGGATAGGGCCTATTGTTCAAGTTTATTAAGGTCTGTCGGGTCCTGGTGATTTATATTTGTCGAGGTCGGATAGATGTTCTCTTACCATTTTCTTGCTTATTTTAATTTTTGTTTCTAGTTTCTCTTTCCCAGTAATTTTTTGGGGGAATATGTTGTGCTATAATTTGTTTTTGTGTGAAGACTGATGCAAACAATGAGTTAAGCAGTTCTGCTTTATCCCTACTGCCTGTTACTTCCTTGCCATCTTCTCTCTTTAGTGACCTACAGTTTCCTTGACTTTTTTCTTGTTATTAATATGTTGAAACTTTTTTTAATTCTCCTTGATTTCTGTTGCAAATCTTTGTTCATTCTGAGCCCTTGCTTTCCTGACTTCGTCTTTGCATGTTCTGGCTCTCTGCTGATAATCAGCCTTAGTTATGTGTCCCTCTTTCCATTTTTTGTACTTGTCTTTTTTGTCTTTCAGTTTCTCAAAGAGTTCTTTTATCAATTCTGATAAAATTAAGCTAGTTTCATTTCCGAGGATTTCTCCTTATAGACCAGTGTTACTGCTGCATCATTGGTGTAGATTTTTTATATAAATATAATAAATATTTGTTGCATTCAATTTCAAGGGAAACTATTTGGGCTACAATCATTAATACATTTATAAAGATACAAACTCCATAAAATATAACAGGAGTCAAAGTATATATCCATAGTCTCACATTAGACTAATCTCATTCAGTGTAGATTAGCAATGTTAATGTAAATTATAATTTCTTAGAATCAATACATTTATATAATGGTTTGGAGCTAGTGTTAATGAAACTTTTAAGTATTTGATTATAATAATTATAGTTAGGCACATAGCAATTGTTTTACAAATGAAGTTTCTATCTTCCACCATTATAAAGGGCATATTTCATTCTAATTTTTATTATAGTTATTTTATAATTTAGCAACTTCAGGAAATTGCATACAACATGCAACTCAACTAAGATGCAAAATTATGCCATATAATTTAAACTATGGTTGGAAAGCTAGATTATGAAGACATATTGGGCCAATTGGACTGATTGTTCCTACCTGCACTGACCAAAATTAAAAAGACTGGTTGAAGTTTTAAGACTTTGGAAACCAATCCAGCTTAATATAAGTTATCTGAAGTTTTCCTCACAGGAAATCCTCACTTAAGGAGCCTAATTAGTACTAGAATCTCAGTTGGGGAGTTATGTGGCCACTAGGCAAAATATCATGTAAGGATGCCTGGTGACAGCAGTGTTGGTAATCCTGGATGCAGTTATTAGGAGAGTACTGTGCCATCTTTAGGCTCATGCTTCTCCTTCCCTGTTGGACTCATCTCCACTTCAACTCTCCCTGCCTACCTCTTCCATCTCTGCCCCTTTGGCCACTCCACACTCCATTGCCCCTGCCATTTGGCATTCCATCACTCCTTCAATCGCCCCTGCACTCCACTGTCCCTGCCACCCTTCTGCCCTCCAACCCCCTGTACTCTGCAGTTTCTGCCAAACCCAAGTAATATTTTACAGCTTCTTCTTCCTGTTTTTGATGAGGATTGCTCAGACTGGCCCCTTTCACCAGTTGCCTCACTAAGGCCCAGGCCAGGTGTACCTCGTCAGCAGTGGGAGGAAGAAGATGGCAAAGGTCAGCTGAAGCAAAAGAGTGCAGGGTGGCCAAAAGGGAAAACATACGACAAGATAGGCAGGTGAGGGGAATTGAAGTCTACCCTGTTTTTGTCGTTTATTATTAGTTTTCTCTTCCCTCTTATGGTCATTTATATTATATTTTCTTCCATGGTATTTTGTAATTTTTTTTACAAAACATAAAGACAATTTAATAAATATTTTAAATAAATAATGCAATGAATTTCTCCAAAGTAAAGCAATTAAGTATAATCAATTACCCTTTTGAATGTTTTCTATTCGTACTGGGAGACCAGACTGTGCAGCAGCTATAAGCTTCAGAGCAGCATAAAACTGAGTTCGACCAAAATAACCGGCATGTTTAGCATCACACAAGTCTATAATCTGAAAGATAAAAGGGAGGGATGAATATGAGCATGTGCCAAAAATATTGGTGCTTGCTGTGAAAGAATTACTGAAGCTACAAAAATATGTAGTTAAAAAAAAAACTGGCAGCAAATAAACCGGTGGTGCTGACATCTGGTTTACATTCTATAGCTTCAAATCTGCTATATTAAACAGAGAAAGCCACAGAGGAAATCCTCCTATATAAATATTTTGTCCTCTTGGCTCCATTCTCAGCAACATGCAATATATTTGTGGCTTAACCTCTGAATAATAAATCTGTCTAAATAGGGCAAACTAAATAAGTATTAAGGGCACCAGCAGGATCTTGCTCCTTTTGTCAAAAGATCGAAACAGAATCACACCACAAACTCTGCACTGTTGTACATGCATGCAATATTACCATGTACAGTATAAAAGAGGGGGCTTGCATGCAATGCTGCAAAGCTGCTTTAGTCATTCTTCTCCCCCAATGGACACTGATCATTACCTAGTTGAAGCATACACATTATATCTCAATGTTCATACACTTCAGCAAGCAGAAATGATAGTTTAAATGCCTGTCTCTAATGAATAGATAGATTGGAAAATGATTTCCTCATGTGAAGAAGAGATAAACATCACTGGATTGTAAAAAATATTTCTATTTTCTTTTAAAAAATAATTTCAATTTGGAAGTCCACAGGTACTATTTAGGAATATTGCAGAAATTCTGGCACCTGTTTTGTGCCATTGTCTGTACTTGAAATTCTAGATTCTGTAATTCTAGATCAGTGGTGGCGAACCTATGGCACACGTGCCAGAGGCAGCACTTAGAGCCCTCTCTGAGGGCACACGCACCATGCCCTGGAGATGGCAACTGTCCCTCTTCAACCAGCCGCCTGCTAACTTGCCGAGCTCCCATGTGGCCGGATGCATCCCAGCATGGCTGGATTCCCTCCCCCCTCCCATCCCTCCTGGCCTCACATGCTCTCCTTTTCCTGGGCACGACCCACTGCATCGCCTCCTCAGCTGTTGGCCGGCTGTCCAGCTCAGAGGCGGCTTCTCTGAACTTCTGGTGGTGGGCTGCGGAGTCCCAGAGTGTGCTGGTCTACGGGCCGGCAGGCTGTGGCTATTGACGGACACTGTTGGCCCCCATGTGCTGTGGCTATTGACGGACACCATCGGCCCCCCTCTGTGTATGGGGGCCAATGGTGTGAGGCAGCAGGCGCCCCAACCCCTGCCTCACCTTGCCTCGCCTCACCCCTCAGGATGAGCCTCCTGCTCACCACCCACCTGCCAGAGACCCCCTGGATCTCCCCCAAGCCTGCCCGGCCCCACAGGCATCCTTCCCCACAAGCAACATCAAGGTGATCACACCCAGCCAATCTGCCATGACCACAGCCATGCCCATCCAGTGAGCCACACCTACCTGGCACCCGGCGATAAATAAGTGGGTTTTGGGTTGCAGTTTGGGCACTAGGTCTCTAAAAGGTTCACCTTCTCTGTTCTAGATTATAGAAATTTTGGCTGTCATCTGTGAAATCCACAAGTTTCTTCTAAGAAAAGCAAAGTTCAAATCTTGGTCTTCTAATATATAAATATTTGCCAACAGCAATTTCTCAATTTTGATTCTCAGTCACTATCAAAGTTAATTTTTAAGACTGGGATTTTGAGAGCCTGTTAAAGAAATTCTCATATAATGCCTACAATTTAGACATCTTCCATTTACCATCTTCCATTTTACTCTTTGATGTCAAGCTGCAAAGAATACTTATGCTGTGGCATCCATTACTGCTTCTTAGCTTGCCTACATATTCGGGGGGGGGGGAGGAAAGAATGGAATACAGGCTTCAGACATTGGACTACCAAGCATGAGAATCAAAGTCGCTCAAGAGTTGTTTACTGAGAACTGAAACTCTCTCATAATTATTGTCTGACACTTCATTGGACAATGTGACCTATACAATTAGAGGGGACGGAGAATCTATACTTTTAATATACTGATTTTGGCGCCAATAAAACAGAACTGGTTTTCCTTTGGTGCCAAAATGATCTGCTCAATAAACTTTTGCATCCTCTCAGCTATGCTTATTTCATTAGGTTCGGCAGTTGGAACCTTGACATTAAACCAGCTCTCATTTAAAAATTCCAACTCAATTAAGGAGTCCTGAGTTCCTAGGCCCTATCCGGCAAATTCCAGAGGGGTTGTAAAGACTCAGGGGAAGATGCCTGAAACGGAACGAAAGGGAGAGCAAGTATCTGGAACCAGAACAGAGGCGACGGGTGTGATTCTAGTCAGGCCCAGGGAAACTCTGGTGCCCAACTAGCTATTACCCACCTGAAAGTAAAAGCAGAAAAGTTGGCCTCATTGGCAATGCTGGAGTGGACTGGATCGACAGGAGTGGAAAGGTGGCGAGAAAGCACATTAAAGGTGGCTGAAGCCGAGTTCCCACTTGACTACTTGTGACCCGAGTTTGCCCGGGACTACAGATGGGGAGAGAGGAGGGCTTTAGAATGGGGAGGACTGGCGGAGGGAAGATATGTGATGATGTGCAGTAATCAAATAGTTGAGCAGCTGAAAGAGAGATTCAGCGGCCTGGATGTGCTAGGAGGAAAGCCAACCCAAAGGCTGGACCTAACCCCCCGAATAGGGTCTGGTCAACTTGCGGCGGCCACGCTGACCCTTTCATCTTAAAACCAAAAACTACGACTGTTGCTGATAGAACAACCAATCCCCAACCAATTACCCTCTCAGAACCTGGCTTGACTCTGGGACATTGGACCACCAGCCCTCAACTTGGGGCGGTGGCCAGTCAACTGCTCCCACAACTGCCAATGTTTCGTGCCCTGTGGAAGTTCCCGTATGGGATGGGATGGCCGCTGGGATATTGGGGCGCTCCGAGACCACAACAATTCCCACCGATTAAAGCCACCTTCAATGGGAATCCAGAGAAGCTGGCATTTTTCCTGGACCAGCAGGGAGCTACATATGCTGATGATGAGGCCTATGTGGACGCAATTGCGGCAAATCTCAAAGGGGAGGGAGCAGAGTGGATGACAGCGCTACAGGATGGAGCCCGAGTTGGGAGTCTCCGATGCCTTCCTGGGAGAGCTCAGAGGCCGATTCAGTGACACCATGCAGACCTGGCAAGCGGAGTCCAATGTTTGCAATATGAAGCAGGGAAGCAGACCAGTCATAGAGTATATCTGAAAGTTCCGGAGAATCGCGGGGAGGTTGAGGCATAATGTAAGGTCCTGTCTCAGCTAGTCCTCCCAAGAAAGCAGAACTCTTGAAACAGGGATTGTTTCAAAAGGAGCTTTTATTGAGTTAGTGATAGCAGAAGAGCAAAGCAAGATCTAACGGTTTCCTGCATGAAACGCCATATTAAAGCATCCCTTTCAAAACCCACCTCAATAGCCAAATGTCCAATTTGATTTCATCCAATCCTCAGGTGCGAAGTTGTTATGGGAACTGAGGTGATAAGTGCAGATCCCAGGCACCGTTCTCAGGGTTTTGTTTCCTCTTGGCCTCCTCCCATCGGACTGGAGATAAGACAGATGGCCCAAGGGACATTACATTCCCCTTCACACCCTGAGGCATCAAAGGAGTAAGGAACAAAGCAGAGGAAACACCAACCAACCTCCCCCCTCTCAATAGAATGACCTAATAGCCTCCTTCCTCCCAGCAAAATGGCAGAAGCCAAAAGTAAAATGGCAGAACCCAAAAGCAAAATAGAAAGGTCTGATATGGTTCCCCCCTAAAAGAATGGGAGATCCATCTGCAGGAGAAAGAAAATAATAAAATGAAAGTAAGAACAGGTGATTAACAAGATTTATCAGGGTACGTTCATGGAAGTGTTTAAGCAGTCTAGGGGCCCTAACATGCTTTTTGTGAACCCATTCGTCCTGAGAAACTGGTAGATCTTTCCAGGCCACTAAATACTGGATAGCCTCATGATTCCTATGCGAATCTAGAATTTCTTTGATCTCTACCATAATGAGTTGTGGCACAGGGGTTGCTTTTGGTCTGAGAGGTGAGGTTATTTCTGGTTTCAGCAAGCTACAATGAAACACGGGGTGAACCTCCGTTAGGGTTTGGGGGAGTTCCAATTCCACAATGACTGGGTTGAAGTTGCGCTTAATCAGAAAGGGGTCTATGAACTTGGGCCCTAGTTTCTTAGAAGGTCGCAGTGATTGCAGAAATCTAGTGTACAAGTACATTCTATCCCACTATGGAAAGGATTGGGTTCTGTTCTTTTCTTGTCACCTTGAGTTTTATAGGCATCCCTGGCTTCATCTAGAGCTGTGGTGGCAAAACTATGGCACATGTGCCAGACTGGGCATGCAGAGTTCTTTCTGTCGGTACGCATGCCAGAGAAATGCTCCCCTCTCCCTCTCCATGTGCGCCTGACTAGTGGGAACTGGAGAGGGCAGGGAAACTGAATCCAGCAACGCTCTCATGGGAACAGCTGCAAGAGCTGGGTGGGGAGAGGGGAACCTATAAAAGGAGCAGGTTTCGGCAGGAATGAAGCGAGAGAGCAAGTGAGTGAGCAGACGGCATTTGGAAGCGACGGTGCAGTGAACGAGCAGCAGCAGTTTGGAGAAAGGGTGAGTGAGCAAAGCAGCATGAGTCTGCACATTGGAGAAGGCTGGTGGGGGAAGGAAGACAAGCATAGTTGCACTTTGGAAAAGGCAGGTGGGACATGGCATCTATTTGCGCTTTGCAGAAGCTCGCAGGGGCGGGGGAAGGAGGACACGCATGGTTGTGCTTGGGAGAAGGCAGGTCCGACATGGCGTCCATTTGCACTTTGCAGAAGCTTGCGGGGGTGGGGAGAGGAGGACGCATGTGGTTGTGCTTTGGAGGTCCAACATGGCATCCGTTTGCGCTTCATAGAAGCTCGCGGGGCAGACACACGTGGTTGCGTTTTCGAGAAGGCAAGTGGGACATGGCGTTCATTTGCACTTTGCAGAAGTTCGTGTGGGTGGGGGAAGGACACGTGTGGTTGCACTTTGGAGAA